ATATTAAATTTGCTCATACTGCCGATGAGGCATGATTAAATATGAAACCAAATTTAACAAAAAACATAACAACGTCAAACTACAACTTGGCCTTACAATATTACAACCTGAGCAGTTCTAATCTGCGTAATCGAATCTTCGGGATATTTTTCCGGAACATATAAGACCCAAGATACGGTTTGAAATAGATGAAACAGTATCCATCGATATATTGGTACAAAATTGCTATCGTACTCAAACATTTCAATAAATTACTAGCAGTAGATAAATTGGTAGAAAACTAGAAAATATGACCAAAATAAAAACATTAATTAATACAGTAGCTGGTGCCATAGATCACGTACTCAAACATTTCCATTTACTAGCAGTAGATATATTGATAGAAAACTAGAAAACACGATCAAAATAAAAAACATTGATTAACACAGTAGTTGGTGCCATCGTATTCAAACATTTCAATAAATTATATATTGATAGAAAACTAGAAAATACGATTGAAATAAAAAACATTAATACAGTAGTTGGTGTTATCGTACTCAAAGATTTCAATAAATTACTAGCAACAGATATATTGATAGGAAATTAGAAAATACGATCAAAATAAAAAATATTAATTAATACAATAGCTGGTGCCATGCATCACGTACTCAAACATTTCAATTTACTAGCAGTAGGATAGATATATTGATAGAAAACTGGAAAATACAGTCAAAATAAAAACCATTAATTAATACAGTAGTTGGTACCATCGTACTCAAACATTTCAATAAATTACTATCAGCTTTTCTGGATGAAAACGTGAAAGAGAGAGTTAAATTTGGGAGAGCACCATCAGAATGATAATTCTGGATAACACACCAATACCAATAAATTGGTTCAAAATGGGGAAATAATATCAACAAAGCGAAGGAAGTAAGAACACTTTTTGAAAACTTTGTCCGATCCAAACTGTAAGACAGAAATTTTATATGGTTGTCTTCCCCTTTTTACAAATCCTGCAATTACTGCAATAAATCCTACAAAAGAGAAAAAAAGTTAAATTTCACTCCAATAATTTTAAGTCAAGTGCCAATATTCTTGCTCTTGAAACTTCAAAATGGCACTTAATAGTTCGTTCAAAAAACTAAAAGGATTCAAATACCAGTGTTTTAAATGAATCATTTAAAATGTATACAGCATCATCAACACGAAAATTCGAAGCTAGAATGAAATAAGATATACAAATCCTTACATAAAAAACAATAGCAAGATGATTAAGAGCGTGAAGACTTCGCTTTTAGAAGAGAAACTGGTTGTTTAATGAGGTCCTTTGGCTAAATGGGCCAAACGGTTTTGGCCTAATGGTTTTGAACCGCCCAACTGACGTATTCTGAAGAGGATAAAGCGATAAAGAAATTTAAATGTAGCGTTCCAAAACAAAAAAAACTTGATCAACCGCTTTCATTTTATTGCTGCTGATGGAAGTTAATGTTACTGTGGTAAGGTAAGAAGAAGAGGGAATCAGCTCTGAGATATCCCAAAAAAAGTCAACTAAAATTAATGGGAACAAAAGATTACACTACATATATTCAAAATAATTTTTTAAGTCACTGATTATCGATTATGATTTGCTGATGAACCAACAGATTCAGGAACTGGTGTATCAATGTTGAAATTCTGAAGAACGGATTCCCGTTCACGTTCTGCTTTACCCAAAATATCTTGGATGAAGATTCCCATTGAAAATTGGTGATCATTACGAGCGTCATCAAGGAAACTATGAGCCAACAGATCTGGATACTTTGGCCTGTTGTTATAATCTTTTGTTAGGCTGAAAAAGAAATATATGCAGAAGAAACTACAACCTTGAGTCGTACTGACTTTAAAAAATAAGTTTCCATTAATCTCACGGATAAAAATTGAGTGTTAAAGTGTGAAACATACTACATACCACTGAGCAACAAAATCCTGAAAATTATCGCTGAACCCCAAACTGTGAGACAATCTTGGTGCTGGTTCATGAACAACCTGTTTCAGCTGCTCAAATGGCGTTTTCCATTTGGAATACGGATGAGATCCCGAGGCTATTTCCACCTGAATGCATCAATTTAGATTCTGAATGCGATAGTGAGAAAATTAATAAGTGGGCCTATATAAAATGAAGAATAGTAGCAAAATCTAGTCAATGGTATAATTTTGATTCATTAGAAAAGACATACGTACCAGCGTAATACCCAAGCTCCACACATCGGCTCGGACATCATAAGCAACCTTCTTTTCGCCCTCGATTCTTTCCGGTGGCATATAAGGCTTGCAACCTGCATTCACTGTTTTTGCAACCTAAAGGTAATTCTAAGCAAACGAATTTTAAAACATTTCGAGCGAAGTTTCAAAAAAAAAGAATAGAAGCTAGACCAGAAATTTCTAGAAATATTGCAAGCAAGATACATCACTTACTGAATTTGTCAAATGGCCTGAAATGCCAAAATCACAAATTTTCACCGCTCCTTGCTTATTGAGCAGTATATTTGATGGCTTAACGTCTCGATGTATTAGATTCATCTGTTCTTTCATGAAATTCAGCCCCTCAACGACCTAAAGAAATTTATTTATTCGATATTTCTCTTCATCCAGAACAAGGAATTAAGCAGTTCATTACTAAGCATTAGAGTTTATCACTCACCCTTTGCTCTTTATCCTTACTCCTTGTTAAACAAACTAGCTTTAAATAAGTAGATATTCATTCAATAAGTTCAATAACATTTAATTCCAATACTTCACTCACCGAAAGCGCACATTTAGCTATAAACATTTCTGGCAGAGGACCACCCGAATCGAAACACATTCGATAAAATTTATCCAATGACATATCCATTACTTCCATGCAAATCCACACATCGCCTTCACGAAACATTGCTCCGTAAAAACGTACCATCTAAAAACTACTTGGAAATGCATGTCAAATTTAAATACAAAAAGTTTACAGAATATTAAAAAGTCAAAGTTTAAAGCAGACCACTGTTTGAAATATCATTTTTTATGTAACAATTCATTACGTCAAAGTGCAAACGCTACCTGTGGACAGCAGTCGCTTTTCATGCAAGCTTGTAATTCTACAAGCATTCGCTTCTGACTTTCATCATTTATTTGGGAATGAATACGCTGAAACAACAAAATCTTAAGGTCTTGTTATGAAAGTAATGATTTATGATTTACTTCTCTCCGCAAATCTCATATTGAGCTACACTTTTATTTTTTAAATGGAAGCTATTACAAGTAGTTTGTTATTGTCGTAGATCAACCTTAACAGCCATAATAGTATCCGTTTGACGGTGACGCATTTTTTCAACAACCCCATACGCCCCCCTCCCGAGTTCCTCGATCTTCTCCAACTCTTGAGCTCGTACTTGAACCTCCTCACCATTTTCCGAAAACCTGGAAGTACTTTGTACTGAAAGCAGTATCATACTGAAATTTGCGGTTTTATTTTTGGTGTTTGCAAACGCAAAGGTCAACCCAACTTTGATGTACTTTCCATTCTTTTTCTGCTTAGTGTAAATTTCAAGTGAACTGTTAAACGACAGCATTCCCACATACTTTGAGACAAAGTAACAGTCTTTTATCAGGAAAATTCAGTTATTTCTTCATTAGGTAGATTAAAAGCTCCTTTGTTTACGAAAAAAAAAGTGACGCTGAAGTCCGTCTAAATAAAAACGAACTAGTTCAGGGTCGACAGTAAAAACTGCTGATTTTATTTTCAGTCCAGTTTAAAATATATTCAAATGCCACTGCGAACAATCGTTTAGAAGGAATTCAACGGAAGGAGATTTTCACAAATATATAGTGAGCACAAATGCTAATAGTGATTTGATATTGGAATGTAAATCTTACTTCATCATGCATTTATCATCAAGATCTAGATTTGGAAGACTTTCGGGTTCAGGCATTGTGAGACGTCCCAGTTTACTTTTACCTGCAAGAAAGAGAGGCAAATTGCAAAATATTGTCTTTTTCAACCCCTTTAAATACAGTTACAGTGAAGGACATTGCCATATACTGACTGTTAAGGACCAAGCAATCCAAATTATTGGCAGTATAACTGAATTAAAGCTGAATAGCTGAATTAAACGGAATGGTTTCATAAGAGGAGCGATGAGTCACAGGATGCCGATCCACAACTGTGTCAAACTTGAAGTTGTATCAACACTGGACAAGCAGTGATGCTATGTGTTGCAAAATATTGCTCTTGAATAAGGTATTTTTCTATAAGCGAACAGATTAGTAAATCAAAGCTGAACACGTCAAAGACTGCGTACTAGCAAAACGGTTCGGCATTGTTCGTGATTGGATAGTTGGTGAAACCGATAAACGACTACAGTTAAAATTGAAATTGAAGTAATCTCATTTCAGCAACAAATTATCTGAGCAGAAAACTCGTCCGAAACTAATCCAAATTATTTTCATTGATGGTATGTAGTCACATAACCTGGAATTTTTTTCAATTTCGGAATTAGCATTGGAAATCTAGAAACGAATAGACTGTGCCGACGATCGCAAAGTCACATGTGAAGCCAATGAAGAATGTTTCATTCTTTTCCGCTACTTCTTCACTTTCATAACTTTCACTCATAAGTTACCTGAAGAAGTGAAGAAGGAAAGAGAAGTTGTAGGGAATGAGGACAGTTGACTGTTCCATGTATTATTGTCCTGCTTAGCTTCACTATAAAAAAGAGAACTCGAGAAATTGTTGAAGAAAGTAATTTAAGTGATTCAAATTAGTAACACTTATAAAATAAACGGAAGAACAAATTTCAAAAAGAGGGAAAAAGGATATCATTGGGTAAAACTATATGTTAAAGACATGCGATGGAAATGAAAGGAATGTCGGGAAACAATGCTCTCCTTGATTTTCTCCGCAAAACAAATATCGTTTTTAACGGATAAAAGCAGTAACAACAAATTGTAATGCGATACACTACTTTATTCATTCACTCCAGCTGAAATCATTCACGGGTTTACAGATGGCATCGTGTGGAACTTATGATAAGATTATACGGCATGAATGGAATGTGCTCTTCACCAACAACAAATCAGAACTTTGTTTTTGTGGCATTATAAGTGAATATTTTTTGCATAAAGACAAATACACGGTACCAGCAGTTTTGACATCGTCGACCGATTTCTTGGGAAATGAGGTTGTCCCATGTATGGAAATATTGAGGTTCTATACAATATCAGTGGCGAAATAAAAGGAATCTCATATGAATGAAAGGAGTGGAAATAACGAAGAGGGAGGGGACTGGAGAGGTACCACAGCCAATGAGTGCCAACAGGAAGAAATACATATAGCACATAAAAAACCCCTTCAAGTGGCACTAACTAATGTCGGAAAATGTCGTTCCCAAGCTGATTACATCCGAAACATCGTGATTCCCATCCCTAAAAACATTGAAAACGCCCAAAACCCACAGCTCCCCATGCTTTCCACCCGTCAATATTTTCATGCAAATATTGCGCTGTTACAGCTCGTACAAAAAGTTATCTTTATTCGCAGCACTCTCACCATAGAGCACCTTCTCGGGTGTCACGTTGATTCATGTAGATACGTGAAAGGGAGCGGGAAGGAGGACGAGGGGAGTGCTCTGTGTTCGGATGTCTTGATTGCTTGCTTGCTTGTCAGGGCCATGGTGTTATTCGTGCGATAACGAAGTATCGGAGTATCACGGATGATATAGATACCTTTAAGGAAGTAGGAGATGAGAGAGTACAAAGTGGGAATTTAAACCAACAAGGAAAAAGTGGAATTGTCGCCGCTGATTTGACCACAGTATATAAGCAGGTACATCACATAGGTATTCCTTTAAAGTTCTTTGCAAGCAAGAACGACGTACTCGTCATGTGTCTTTTGCATAGCAATGCTAAGTCGTTAAAAATAAAATTTTTGAAAATCTTTACAGAAATCAGAAATTTAAATATAAGGAGAACTATTACTACATTTTTTGCGTGTCCCATATCTTCAGTTTACTATTAAATCATCAGAATTCGCATTGAACTTTGTTCATGGTTGATGTAGGATTAAAGCGAATGGTAAGTGTATTATGCATTAATGCCATTCTCTCTGGATAATCAGCATTTTGATTGTTGAATTAACTTTTTGTACCTTTCAAGTTGCAACCGTATTGAGTTCTCTATAATCTTTCAAGTGTTAAGTGTTTTTCATATCTTCCACGACTTCATTTTCTGTAGAATATGCAGTTTGCGGCTAGCGTAGATTCACTTGATAGTGGACCTTCGTGCAGTGAACCAATCGCCATTTCATCATCGGCACCCACAGTTCCGGTTGATTCGCAGAAAGAACCTTTGTCACCAGTGTCCGAACGTTATCGCCTTAAAAAATTTCACCTGCAACAGAAATATGATTATATTTATATGGTATTAAATTCTCCATTCAATTGCTTTTACTTTTAATCTCGTTGAACTTTTCAAGATTTGGTTTTTTATCGAACAGCAATACCTGCTATGGCCTTACGGTGGAGATGAAGGTTTTTATTTATTTTGCTCTATAGCTCAAATATTCCAGGGTTCAGTTTCTTCTAGTAATTTCAGGGATTGTAAGTGTATTTCTCAACCACTTCGTTAAGTCATTTGAAACCTTTGAGAAATTTTCAGTCCAACAATCGGTTGCGCAATCGTTTATACCATATTAAGAAAGAAATCAACCATTTGAAGCGCCTTAAAAGGTTTAATTTATATTCATTTAGCGGCCTCTTTTATTGTACCAGCGAACTATTTGTGTTTTCTGTTTAGGAGCAATAAACTGTCTTGTCACTTACAGAAATTGATCGATAATTGCTAATGATGACAATTAGTGGTTATTTAGGGTACTTTGTCAGCGATTGTTCACATTTCGTGATCCGTTTATGGATTCATGCCTTGAAATTCCGGATAATGATCCAACATCTCCAACAATAGAGAGGATTTCAAGCGATGCAACGGGGAAACCATCTGGTAGTTCTAAAAAGAAGAAAGCTGCAGAAGCTAAAAGAGTTAATCAGGTTAGCCATTTTTTTACGGTCTTCAACTTGAAACGATATGAATGATAGCGGTTGCATAGTTATCTTTCTAAAATCCAAAATGTACGCCCTGATGTCTGTGGATGGAACTGATTAATGTGATTATGAGATATGACAATTTGGCATCTTAGCTTTAAATATATGGCACAGCGACTGCACCGTTTATTGCATGAATCCGCTTGGCGACTCACGACGATTTGCGGTTAAGCTAACAGGTGTTGTTACAGAGCTGGTTGCATTAATCAGAAAAAAAAAAAACTGCAACATCATCCAAATCAACCTCAGGTTGCAGAGAAGATCAGAGCGGCGATGGGCAGCCGAAAATCTCAGGTACCAGGTTGTCAAAGAATTCCGACATGGGCCTTTCGTTATGGACATTTAGTTCGGTACTAAAAGGTGGACGTGGATTGACATGTTGCGGAGAAAGGTAAAATGTTATGCGGTGTCCTAAATTAGTGGAAAACTCGTCGAATACGAGGGATGTATACGATTCGAAAAGTAGCAGTGCGATGTTTGCAAAAGCCGAAGGAAGTTGGAGAAGTGGACCTTGTTACTATGGAAGCTGATACTCCAAGATTGGCTCATATGCTCTCATTTGGTCACAATTCAAAGCTGATAGTTTGGAAATATTTATGGTCTTCCAAGTAAGCGTAGATGAGACGAAAAACTTTCGGATATTCAGATGTACTAAGCTGTTGACAAAGAATTGCTGAATTGTGAAAAGGATCGGTACAACGCCTCAGTGGATTAAAATTGTACTGTGAAGATCCAAAGGAAAAAGGACTTATGAAAGACATAGGTGCCTGAAAAAACCCTATAGAGGTAACTGCTTGAAAAACGGGTGTCTTGAATAAAATCGTGAAAGCTACATAGCAGGCATTAAAGTCATCCATTAAAAAAATTTACACCAAATTCTTTGAATGATATAATATTTGAATTCATTTGTCAAAATAGCAAAAACGGTGGTATATCTAAAAAACTTTTAATTCAAACAGTAATCTTAGCTGGAAAGTGGTGTCCCAAGATGGTGAAAGTGGAGCTTCAACTGTCACATCATTCAAAATCTGTGACGAGACAGTTTCATTTTGGTAATTTTAGCTTCAGTTAGTTTGAGCTTAAGAAACTGTTCTGTCCCTGAAACTTTATTCCTTATTTCAAATCTGTTGTTTAAATTCTAAATTATGCTGTTCAGCAAGTAAATGAAGTGTCATCGATGGTAGAAATAGCGAAGAATAGTGTTATATCAATAATAGACTCGGTGATTACTGAATCTCATGAAGAACGTGTGCGTGCCAACCAGAACTCCAGTGGCCAAAAAACCCCTCAGCAGTCTCCCAATGTACCAGCCCTAGGCGAAGTAATGCGAAATGAAGCAGGAATTGAGGGGGTAAGTATGCCCTAAATTTTTTTTCGATTTTTATCTTGGTATTTTTTATCTGGATCATGACAGCAATTTTTGTTTTTTTTAATGTTTTGGAATTTTTTGTCGTTCCAGGTCTCTGAAGATTGTGAACCAGTCATTGAAAGGATGTTACGCGCTTCATCTATAGATCATTTATTACCTGTTGATCCAGATTCTGACACTAATAATGTACTTACTGGATTTGGTGAAAATTTGGAGGAAAATTTCATGGCCGAAGACTAAAGCCGCTAATAGTCAGTGACTATGCTATTTGCTTGAATTTGAAATTTCTGTCGCTGGAATGGTGATGGTGATCCATTTATTTCGCTTCCTCGACGTCCACGCATCACTGTGTAGTCCTGAGAACAGTTCGTGTAACAGATTCATATCTGAAATGGAATGAAAGTTATGATGGAATAACCAGAGTTTTATATATAATCTTTGAGTTATTTTAATTGATTTCGTCACGACCTTACATGAAGAAATCAATTAGAGCGAAGCTTAGTTACCGTGAACATAACAGGAATCTATTGCAGTGTGAAGAGTTTCTTGAAGTTTAATTACTGCACTATTACTTTAGCGAATTTTGTTAAATGCATGATTTTCATCCGATATCCAAGGCTTGAACAAAAAATAGTCATATTTAATGTTTTGCGATGCGACAAATTGTAGCTTATTCTATTCTTTGGATTTAGTTTATTTCAAATCCTCCTCACTGACATAGTATGGTACAAGCAGTGACATTTATAGTTGCACTTTGTGATGTATGTCGGTTCAGATTTTGATTTAATAAGCTTTGATAAGTAGTATTGGAAGCAGAATAGTCAGTTATAAGCTAATTTACGGGTGTTAATTTCTAGTCGTCAGCTTTGCTCTTTCATTTCTCGAGAAGCGCATATATAAAGGATAATTATAGGTGTTTGACAATGTGTTAATGGATATGCATTTCTTTGTTTTTTAATATTACCTTTGCAATTCATTTGTCTTTTCTTCACAAGGGATTAGAATTAGGTTGATATGTTACAAATTTTATAATTCTCTCATTTCAGTTTTTTTCAATCTCACTGTGTATGATTAGATTTGACAGCTGTCTTTGATGAATCGGTTTTGTAATATTTTTTGAATATAATTAATCAGACTGTTGTGACCACTCAAAGAAGATATATGTTTTACGTCATATCATCCCTTCTCTGTTTAAGATTTTACAGGTTTGGTGATGTTCGGAACTGGTTATTGTATTGAAGTAGTTTTTTGAGTTTAGTATTTTGCTATTTATTTGCTGTCAGACAAACAAACATTTTTTAGACGGTGCATAGAGGGCACTGTATGTACTTCACATTGTTGCTGGCTGTCACTCGAAAAATTTGGACAAGTACTGTAAATCGGAAAATGAAAGTCATACCTATCCCAGCGTTGAGCGATAATTATATGTATCTTTTGATTGATGAGGAGACCAGTAATGCCGCTATAGTCGATCCGGTTAACTTGAAAGGCGTCAGTTTGCAGCTTTGAGAATTAATTCGACTTTATCATCCTTTAATGGTTGAACTTTTATTTGGTTTAATAAAATTAAGATGTGGAGATGTTTTTGATAGAATCAATACTAAAGTAGTAATACTTGCAGATAAATAAAGCCGTCAAAGAGACTGGTGTGAGGCTTACTTCTTCCCTGGTTACTCATCATCACTGGTATAATTTTTTGTACAATTAATCAACTTTATTCATTTACCAAAAGCGGAATACAGTAGTTTCCTTACCTTCAGGGATCATGCTGGTGCGACAAGAGAGCTTTCTGTTGAGTATCCTGGGTTATCCATTTATGGAGGTGATGATCGTATTATAGGTATTACCAGTAAGGTGGGAGATGGTGATATTTTCAAGGTATGTTAATTTCATAGCACCACATTTAGCGTCTCAAAAGTTGGTGGCAAACGGACACACTTGATTCCAAGGTGGGATTTGACAGCTTTCATTTTCTCCATGTTACTTATAACTAAACTGCTAGTGATAAGGCTAACCATTTTGTCCCGACCCGAGAGAGCTGGAACCATTCTCTCTAAGTTCGAACTAACTACGAGTGTTTGAACCAAATAGTTCATAATATATCTTCGCCACAGATTGGTAAAGTTAATGTGAAGTGCTTATACACGCCTTGTCATACAACGGGCTCTGTCTGCTATTATGTTACCGATGGTAATGGTGATAAAGTAGTTTTTACTGGCGATACATTGTTTATAGGAGGTAACAAAAAATTTTGTTCAACTTATTATAATAAATTGCAAATTTTTTAACGGAGAATGATCATTATCTGGATGGTTAGTGCAGTGTGATTATTTCCCCGAAAAAAGAATGGAATCAATTTCAAGTTGAGAGTATCGAATAGACTTTGTGGCTACTTTATAATCTTTCTGTGTTAACATTTGAAGTAGGGAAACTAATTTTCATTTTTTTTTTCACTGTCCGCTTCTGTATACGTTATATCTGATCTACGAGCTTCATTTCGTCTAAAGCCGATTTTCAGAAAACAGCCGTAGTGGACGCTATTACTTAATTTTAAGCTGTCGCTGTTTCTGCTTATTTCGTTTTATAACAGACTCTTTAATATCTCGTTTTGCCCGTTATTCTTTCGAATTTTTATTCCTTCTTATGCTTTCGTTTTTACCCTTCATCATTTCTCCTCTTACTGTTACAGGATGCGGACGCTTTTTTGAAGGTAATGCCACAGATATGGATTCTGCTCTAAATGAAAAACTGGGCAGTCTGCCGAATGATACGGTACTCCGTTTCTTCCTGAAGCTACAATTTCAAAAATATCCAACTCTCGAAAATTTTCAGCGCTGGACATTGAGTCCTATTGCATCCCAACTGGTTTATTTTAGATGGTATATTGTGGGCATGAATACACTGTTGAAAATTTAAAGTTCGCTCATTCGGTTGAACCAGAAAATGATGAAATTACGAAAAAATTAGCCTGGGCGGAAGAACAACGGAAGGCTGGTAACTATACGGTACCTTCTACAATTGGGGAAGAGAAACGTTTTAATCCCTTTATGCGTGTTCGGTGAGTGTTTGTGAAAAATGCTTGTTATCGAAAAATCATAACAGATATTGAAATTGTTATGGTAATTGGCGCTGCATTGAGTGGTTAATAAACCTTCATTTTTTTATCGTGTGGTTCGACTAATTTCATTTCAGTATAAGTGATGAATTGAGAAACGTAGCAAAATCTGCAAATCCCATCATTGTTATGGCAAAGATCAGATCTATGAAAAATAATTACCGTGCTTAATATATTCTTTTTGGTTCTTACTTCGGGATTCGACAGTTCATGCCTACCTGCATAAATATTTGTCTAGAATTTATGGATTCGATTGTTATGTGAACCGCTGGATTCCATGTTTTCGCTGAAATATGATGCAGAGTGTAATGCTGAGTACTTTGCATAAACTGTGAAAGTTCAGGTCTTTGTTTTGACATTCCCAAAAGATTGAACACCTGGCCATTCAGTGACATATCCAGCTTCGGAGAATATGATTTCATGATTCACGGGAACTGTAGCACATATCAAAAAAATTCTGAACAGTCTGCTTTGTGTAACTTTGATGTAGCAGTTAAATGGTAAAATCGATAATTTTTGGACTTCGTGTATTAGCTTGGTTTTTTGTTTTGGAGCTGAAATATTTCTACATTTGTGCTTTGTCTTGGGAATGTGGTGCTACTTGTGGAACTTGAACTGAGTAAAAATTTGCTTTCAATCCACTAAAAAGCACTGGTCAGGATATCTGAGGATTTTGTCATCCATGAACTGAGCGGACTGGAATTCTTTACGATATATTGTAGTAAGATCGATATCTTCAAATCGCTGTCAGCCGATTAGAAATCGAATAGAGGGACCAACACTTAAGAGAATGGAAAGGGGAGGAGAAGAGTGACAGGGCACCACAATGCGGTCAGATTTTCTGGTATTAAAGATTTTAGGACGACTGGCTGTCGGATGGCACCAAGGTCTACCGTCGGAGTCCGCCTCTACAAATTGCAAGCGACAACAGCTTTTTCTGTCCTCTTCTGAAGACCATCTTGAATTTGTACTTCCACATCATTTAGAAACTTTGAGACCATGAACACTTGTACTGAACGCCATTGAGCTGCACCTCGCTGACACATCTTTCATTGCATTTAATAGATTCGCCAGTTAAAAATCGTGTTGTGAAGCACAGTCGACCTTGGGAAATTGAGCTTCAGGTTTTGGAATTTCAAAAAGTTCCCGCCGGCAAATATTCCAAATGGACTGTGTTAAAATTCTTTTTCTATTCCGATGTTTTTTAAAAACTAGCTTCTACAAGAAATCTATTATTGTGTCTGTAAAGGAAATATTTTACTGTGTATTTCCAGAAGCAAATGGTATGTTACTTGGAGTAACTTCTTTATAAGTCTAGGATATTTCTTTCATCATCGGAAATATATATTGTGTAAAATATATTTGTGGCCAGTTTTTGATGATTCGTATTTGTCTTTCAAAAAATGTCCCACTTTTTCCCTTTTCTTGTAGGTTTTTGAAAAAGTAACGCTAGAGTGACTTGTTCATCAAGCACAACTTTAATTCATTTCGAATTTGTGATCTCTACAAGTAGAGTATTAATTTTGCAGTAGGAAGTCATTTACTGCTATGAAATTATTGGGAAAGAAGGATTTTCTCAAATCCATATACGACAGATATGCAATAACAGTCCATTCAGCAAATATTATGATCACGAACAACTTCCTCCGATATTACCAATTCTTTAAAAATCGAAAATAGAAGGCATTCACCTCAAATTTTTTTTTACTCTTTTCCGACGTGCAAACATAAACTGGAAATTCTTTCCACATGCATCAAACCAGCTTTTTGCTTGGTTTCACGCTTTAATAATTATTTTCATCACCCAATTATTTGAGTGTCTGACGTATATCTCTGCTTTTGTCAATTTTTAAACACGCTTTCACTTGAATGTATAAAGTTAATTGTGATGTTTACCTGACTTATAGATAGTTTATTTTTCATTGCATAAAGTTGAAATTTTGCCAACAAAGTAATTTGTTTCTTTCAGTGGAAACTGATTTATTTTCATATAAAATGGACGCTCATTAATTTTCATAAATTTCAGGTCATCGAGAGACCAACCGCTGCCCCAACCATTTTTACCCATTAACTTTAAATTTTTAAAGAATTTCTTATTATTTCTGAATTTTCTGCAAATATTACACAATGGGAATTTTGGCCGATGGACAGCTTACGGTTCATTTGGAAAGGCAATACGAATCGTATTCTTCGGCACACAGCTTCTTTCATTTGTAACACTTTTTGTTTCATGGAAAGAATGTTAATTTAATTCTCATAAAATTTTATTCAATGGATTAAAAAGTACTTCAAAAAGGATATTAAATTGAATACTTGATCAAAACTTATAATTTGTACATCCATATTTCGCAATCTAAAATCCACAAAAAATGTATTAAATGTTTGTAATAATAAATGTGTTAGAAATTTCAATTTAAATCAGATTTCTTTTTCTTCCACAGATGGTTTTGTTAGCTGTGCTAATATACGGTTGTTGGTTAGTGCAGGAACGATCACAGTACGCAGAATTGCTTAAGCCAAGTTTGTACGTAGATGTTGCCCGCATTATGATTGTTAGCTCAATATTTGCATTTCTCAACACTAGCATGTCGATTTGTGCTTTATCGAAAGAAATGCGATGTTTCATGTATTCGGTTTGTTCATCTTTGAGAAAGTGATACCAAAACATGTGATTTAATCTAATAAAAATGGAGGGAATGGTCATGGATATCGGTCGGCTACTATAGTGCGTCATCTTGGGTCAGCATTGCAGCATGCTGATCATGAACGTTTTTAAAAGGCTAACCATTTGAGCTATCGAACCACTTCATATGCTTCACATTGTCCTACCATATCAGTTTGTTTTCGATGATTTTGGATGGGATAATTTCGAGCAACTAATCTCGATTAATGAATGGAATATAAAAACAGAAGAATGTCGAACACATCCTTAATTTATTTTTATTATCATTTGAAATGAACACATAATGAAATGTTGCAGTAGAAGGAATTAATCAGATTATTTCAGTATGTGATAGCTAGCGGAGTAATATTCATGATGATGTTCATTGGTGGTGTAATGGGTTTCGTATTTAGGCATCAGGTCTGTTTTTTCTTTTTTATTAAAGATTGAAACAACAATTCTAGCATACATTTCTTTCGAAAGTTGGACTTGATTTGGTGATTTTACATCCGTATTTCAATGAAATCTTCCAAACTTTATCAATAATTTTTGCAGTTACAATACAGAATACCGCTCCATCTCAAAATGCTTACATCATTGCGTGAACTTTATGGGTTACCGAAAATGAATGGAATTACTTACGCTTGGGACGAACTTCAGAGCAATGTGAAAATTTCAAGCTTTATTGTAAATGAAATTTCTTTTCCACTTTTTCACAAAATCTTTTTTTTTGGACTTTATGTTTCAGACAACTTATATAGTGTATGTCCAAAATGAGTATTAAACGAATCTACTTCTTTTTAGTTCAACTGCTGTGGAGTAAATGGTACTGATGATTTGAGGGTTTGGAAAACATCAAAATGGTTTATGCATCAAAAGGGATTCAAGCAAAAACTTCCGTTATCATGGTCAATTTCAGATTTAAATTTGATCAAAATTTTAATCAAACTTCGGAACAAAACAAGCTTAAAGAGAACTCGTTTCTCACTTAAGTAAAAAAAAATTAAGTGTAAAAAGATTAGTTTAAACGTTTTATATCTTATGTCTTACATCATTAAATCAGTTCGAATACACGACTTTTAGCTGTGTAAATGAAATGGTCAAACGTTGTCTGGAAACGGATCTGAATCATCCGGATGAAGCAGTTGTCCACACAAAAACATGCTACATGTCGCTACGATCTGATTTATTAGAGGTAATGCATGTGGCTGCATGGCTCCTCATCATCGCAAGCCTAACCATGGTACGATTCTTATTTCAGTTGAGATTTTTCTTACTCTGTTTGATGTCTTAATATATGCAATTATTTGTTGGACCAGTCTTTCACTTCGAGATAAGCTATTTTGTTTATAAGTAGTAAGTGGTAGTATACCTGCATTCAATACGGAACGCATTACTTTTCAAATTCAGTTTAACCAATTCTAGTTTTGAATTCTTGACGTTTCATTTTCAGCTGTTGATGTTGATGATTTAAGAAATTTAAAACCTTTTTGTAGGTGATACCCGCTCTGTGCGCAGGAATCTATGCTCGCCTTATCAAGAAGTAATTAAATTTGTATTGCTTGCTTTTTGTAATTATGATATAATGACCAAGGCTGATTACGACGGATTACGATAATACAATATTATATTCATTACATTCATCCTTAGCCCGGAACGCGAGACAGCTCCCACTGCTCTGCTGTCCTTGATTGTAATTCTAGAGTTCAAGTTTTAAAACTAGTGCTTACCTACGGAGCAAAGTGGAATAGCTGCTCAGGAATGGTCTTAAGCTGATAATTTCCCTCCTAATTTATACAGATGAATTGCAAAATGTGAGTCCACTGAACTTTAATTTAGGCCAGTGGCTATTTTGGATTCCTAAAAATTATGCATTTCTATTTAAAAAGTCTGTTGGGGGTTAAGAATAAAGGCAATAGAGAAAGTAGTGAACTCTGTGCTTCTTTTTTTTTTTGATTCCCAAATCTTTTTCTGAGAAACTGTTGAAAAAATAA